TGAAAATATTTTTTAAAGACAAATTAAATTTTTTTGGGTAGGGGTGAAAAAATAAAAATTTGAAGTTGTGAAAATATATTTTAAAAACAAACTTCAAATTTTTTTGGGGGGATGGGTCGAGGGTAGGAGTGAAAAAATGAAATTCTGAACTTGAAAATATTTTTTAAAAACAAACTTAATTTTTTTTGGGGGGTGGAGGTGCTGGTAGGGGGTATCGAGGGTATGGGTGAAAAAATTGAAATTTTGAAGTTGAAATTTTTTTTTAAAAATAAACTTAAATTTTTTTTGGGGGTTGGGGGCTGGAGGAGGGGTCGAGGGTAGGGTGAAAAAATGAAATTTTGAAGTTGAAAATATTTTTTAAAAACAAACTTAATTTTTTTTTTTGGGGGTGGGGAGACTTGTAGTGGGGTGGGTGGGGGCTGGTAGGGGGTGGGAGCGGGGTAAAAAAAATAAAAAATTGAAATTAGAAATATCTTTTAAAAATAATTTTTAATATTTTTTTTGGGGGTGGTGGTAGGGGTGAAGGCGGTGTTAAAGTTAAAAACATTTTTAAAAAACAAGCTTTAAATTATTATTTTTATGGAGGTTGGTTGGGGGAGGGGGACTGGTTTGAGGGTAGGAACAAAATAAATTGATTTTTTCAACAAAAAAAAATGTAATTTGAAGTTGGAAGAGAGTTTTGGAAAATGTTTTGCTTAAGTTTTGAAGGGAAGTCATTTTCCTTAAATTTGAGGAAAATGAGTTGATTTGGAAAACATTTAACCCAACCAAACATGAGAAAATTGGACCTTCCTACCAAACACACCCTAAAGTAAAAACTTTTGATGGACTTGGACTTACGATTGTAATAGTTGGACTAAAATTGAAGTGTTGGCTTGAGAAAATAGTAATGTTAAAGATTTAAGTTAATTAAAATTTAACAAAATATTTATATTTTATTTATGAATGATATATAAATAATTATAAAATTTATAGATCTAATTTATCGATTTGGTTTAGTTATTTTTGCAATTATTTTTTTTGTAAAATCAAAACCAAATCAAATAGTATCGGTTTTTAAAATTTAAACTAAATCAAATATCAATTTTTTAATCGATTTGGTTCGAATTGCGGTTAGATTTAATTTTTTAACCATAACCATGAACGACGCTAACTGAAATAATAGAAATGCCTAGACGATGCACCAATTAAACTCTAAATTTGAAGAATAATCGAAGCCTTTTCAATCACTAATTAATTAAAGAGAGGTAATTTTCTATTATATTATGTGAGATATACTTCTATTAGTATTATACTAGTAAACTTTTTATTTGAGGGTAGAATGTTCAAGGGTAGCGGTTGGAGGGTGGAACGATTAAAGGATACAATAAGCATAGGATGTCGTTTATAAAACTTGTTTTTTATACTTTCATTAGTCATTTTTCTCATTTTAAAAAAATTTATTTTCATAGAAAAAATATTTTTAAAAACTTTGTCCAACTAAACATGAGAAATAATAAAAATACTTTAATTCATAAAAAACACACACACAAATATAACAGATTGTAAAGCTAGGAGATAAAAGACAATGAATAATATGAATAAAATAAAAACAATAGATAAACGCAAATCACAATCACATAAGAGTGGAAGAGCAATAGGAACGAATTTAAATTTTCAAGAATATGAGCGTAAATATAAGGTGTGTTTGGTATGAAGGAAAATGTTTCCATGGAAAATGTTTTCCTGGAAAACAAGTTGATTTTTGACTTATTTTCTCATGTTTGGTTGGTGTGTAAAAAATATTATCCGGAAAAGATTTTTAGAGTTTGATTTATGAATGAAAAATATTTTTGAGAAATATCTTTTATTTTTACTAGAGTAGAAAATAATTTTTAAAAACAAACTTAAATTTTTTTTGGGGATCGGTGCTGGTAGGGGGGTGGGTGGGCTGGTGGGGGGGGGGGTCGAGGGTTGGGGTGAAAAAATAAAATTTTGAAGTTGAAAATATTTTTCAAAAACAAACTTAAAATTTTTTTTTGGTGGGGGGGGGGGTGCTGGTAGGGGGGCTGGGTGGGGTGTGGGGCTGGGTAGCGGTGAAAAATGAAATTTGAAATTGAAAATATTTTTGAAAAAGGAACTTAAATTTTTTTTGGGGGTGGGTGGGGGGTCGAGGGTAGGGGTGAAAAAACGAAATTTTGAAATTGAAAATATTTTTGAAAAACAAACTTAAATTTTTCTTTTGGGGGGGGGGGGGGGGATGGTGGTGGTAGGGGAGTGTGTGGGTGGGGGTTGAGGGTAGGAGTGAAAAAATGAAATTTTGAAATTGAAAATATTTTTTAAAAAACAAACTTAATTTTTGTTTTGGGTGTGGGGAGGGGGTGGGGGGTGGGAGGGGTCAAGGGTAGGGTGAAAAAATGAAATTTTGAAGTTGAAAATATTTTTTAAAAATAAACTTAATTTTTTTTTTGGGGTAGGAGTGGCGAGTAGGGGGGGGGGGGGGGTCGAGTCTAGGCGTGAAAAAATAAAAATTGAAGTTGAAGATATTTTTTAAAAACAAACTCAATTTTTTTTTTGGGCGGGGGGGGGGGGGGGGTGGGTGATCGAGGATCAAGATGAAAAAATAAAAATTTGAAGTTGAAAATATTTTTTAAAAACAAACTTAAATTTTTTTCTTTCTGAAGGGGGGTTGGGGGGCTGATAAGGGGGGGGGGGTGAGGGTAGTGAGTGGGGTAAAAAAAATAATAAAATTGAAATTAGAAATATCTTTTAAAACCAATATTTAATATTTTTTTTGGGAGGGGTGGGGTAAAATAATTGAATTAAAAAATAAGCTTTAAAATTTTATTTTTTTTTTGGGGGGGGGGGAGGGTGGTTGAGGGGCTGGTTTGAGGATAAAGACAAAATAAATTGATTTTTTCAACAAAAAAATAATTGTAATTTGAAGTTGGAAGAGAGTTTGTAATAAATAAGTACTTTGTAGAATAAAAATTTAAAAAACAACAATACCTACCTAACTACCAGAAAAAAAAAAATAGAAGTTATTTATGTTGGATAATTAGTCTTCACATTTAGTTAAATCAATTTTATTAATATAATAAATAATAAATAATATTTTCATTATCTTAGACCTAGGGGTGTGCATTCGATTTTTCAGTTTGGTTTTATATTGTTCGGTTTGAATTTTTTGATTTTTGGTTTTGAAGAAGTGTAACTCAATCCGAACCAAAATAAATTTGGTTTGGTTTGGTTTTTCTCTTTTTGGTTTGGGTATTTTCGGTTCGGTTAATCGGGTTATGTCAATAATTAGAAACATAACAAAGTTATATTTGCAATTGAAAAAAATAATATATATATTATATTAAATTTCTTAAATATAAGTAAAACGTAAAACACAATACTTAAAAGTATATCAATTATAAATGTCCAAACATAAAAAATAAATTAAATCATAATGAAAATAACTAAAAAGGGACAAATTTGGTTAACTCCAACGTAATTCTAAACATATATATATAATTCAATTTTTTCGGTTTTTATTTTTCTAAATTCGAAACCAAACCAAAAAACCAAATAAAGAAAATTATAAATTTAAAACCAAATCAAAAATCCAAAAAATCAATCCAAATTAACATTTGGTTTGATTTTTCGATTTAATCCAAATAGTGCACACCCCTACTTAAACCGGCTCAAATCAAATCATTCTGATTTGGCAACTACTATTTATGGTATTATAAAATATAAATATTATAAAGAGGCTAGTATATCCATCCACTACAGGGAATGAGGACACACGTCTCCATCGACGTGTGTACTTTCCGAAAATTCATTAAATTCGAAAATAATTTAGTTATTTTAAATTATTATGATGGCTTGCAAATTGAGATTCTCAAAATATCACATATATTATTTAAAAAATATATTGATAAGAGTGAGTTGCTTGGATGATAAATATCCTTTACTTCCAATCCTAAGGTTGTGAGTTCGAGTCATCAAGGAATAAAAAAATAATATTTAAATATATTTAAAATATTATAAAAATAATTATCAATAAAATTATTAAAACTAAAACAATTATAATATATATTGGGCCCGAATTTATCCGAGCTTTTGTATCTAATAGTATTATTAGAGTAAATTGACTAAGTAGTAATAGTATTATTAGAGTAAATTGACTAAGTAGGCGTTTGGCCATGCGATACCATATCACGATATGGTATCGTGAGATGAAATCAGTGTTTGGACATGCGATTTTACGCTGATTTCATATCATGAGATGTGATTCCATATTCTTCAAAAACCATGATATGAAATTATATGATAATTCCATATCATGATTTGAGATATTTTTAAAACAAAAATTGATTCACAAGCTTATATTTTGTTTAAACAATCCCACATTTATATCTATTAACCATTTATTTCATATGTAAATAAAATTTATAATTACATCATTATTTTTTAAAATTTATTATTCGAACCTACATAAAATTTATTATTCTCACCAACATATAGTCACTTTAACTCACACCAATCGATTGTTAAAATGATGAAATATTTATGGTTTATGAGCATGAAAATATAGTTGCGGATGATATTGACCAACAAATGGCTCAAAATAACAATGTTGGTTCGTCTTCTCAGCCACATGATCGAGAAATGCAAGTTCAACGTGAGAAAATTGTCCGTATTATGTGGGAGAATTATATTAATGACTAGTACACTACAATTTATGTTCAATTTTTTTAAATTAAATTAAAGGTAGATGAAACAATTACTTAAGTGGAGAACAAATAGCTTTGTAATAATTTATTATGCTATTTTATAAATTTTTGTTTATTTGGTAAGATTGAATAAACAATTGAGGCTATTTTAATAGTTTTATAACTTATGAGATTTTTATGTTTATGAGAAAATATACAACACAAAAATTTCATATCGCATGTCTAAATAAAACTTTACCATATCGCATGGCCAAATGGGCCCTAAATGAAATATTAGAGAGGATAATCTCTAACAACGTGGAGAATGCGTAAATTATTTAGGTTCCATTTTAAAAAAATAAAAAAAAAGACATTGAATTGAAGATACATAAATTGGGGAGTGCATACCCAACTCCATAATAGATGCTTTGACTTCAATCTCAATTGTCCTCTTCTTCTTCTTCTTGTTAATGTTAGGTTAATCTTGTTCAGATTCCAACATTCTTGAGATTGTTGAGAGAAAGTTAAAGTAAATGGGTAGCAATTTCAGAAGAATTGGGAAATTGGCTGCAATTTCATCCAAAAATCAAAGTTGTAGGGGACTTTCCTCATCGCTTAACAAAAATGACACTTCCACCAAATCTGTCAACCTTTTCTCTGCTATTAATCAAGCTCTTCACATCGCTTTAGACTCTGATCCTCGGTAATTTTTCCAACTTTTTTTTTTCTTACTGAAAAGCTGTCGCAGAGTTTCATTGTCAGTTTTGTAGTAGATCAATCCAGAGCTACAGCCAAAAAGTTAGTTTATGGGTTCTGAAAGTACAACTTTATTTGCTTTATGGGTTTTGAATATTCCTTATGTTTCAATTTCTTTATCCTATTTTGACTAGACACCGAGTTTATGGAACTTTTGAATCTTATGGTTCTAAAAGAGTGATCAAAAAGGAAAAAAAAATCATTCTTTTTGGAAGGAACTAAAAAGGAAAGAAGCACAAATAAATTGTCATAGAGACGGTAGATTATTTGGACATATTAAATAATTTTTCTTATTTAGAGTTTGAATCAAAGCTATTGGTTCTGCTTAACCTGTAGCTAGCGCCTTTGGGTCCGCTACTGGATCAATATATTACTTGATCACATTTTGAAGATTAGCGAAGCAGGAAAAGAAAGAGGGAAGGTGGTAGTATTATTAATTTGCTATCTAGAAAGATTAGTGCTTTTACTATGTGGAACAAGAAAAAAAGGGGAAAGTACCAACTTTAAGTTATAAGAGAATATGACTATATGAGTAAGGTACACCATTGAATTGCCAATTAAGATTTAATAATGAGACAAGTAAATAATCCTGATCATCGTTTCCTTAAGCTAGGATGATCTTAATTATTTTACTCTTTTTTTAAATAAATATACAACCCTTCAATTCTCATCTAGAGGGTCATAAGTATTTGATATTTAGTTTTAAATCTGATATTTTCATTTTTAAGCATAATTTAGTATTGAGTCTGCAATAATCAGATGACCTTAGGAAATCGAACTAGTTCACTCTTATTTCCCATGGATGTTTTATTATTTTCTATTTGCATGCCAACTAATTGTAAGCAATAACATATGAGAATGGTAATGGTTAAATCGTGAAGGGGTTCGGGGGTTGTTCGAAAAGAAAAATAAAGAGGCTGCTTTTCTCAAAATAAGAAAGAGGTTGCTCCCACAGCTTTCTCATTCTTTGCTTTTTCTACAGGAATAATTGTGACATTTAGCCTAAAAAGGCCTCTTTTACTGTCCAAAAGGCCAGAACAGTCTCTAAAAGTAATGCAATGATGTAGTGGCGTTAACTTTATGAAGAAGTACAAGGATGATAGCCTGAACATTTAGCTTTTATCCTTTTCCATCATATGAGTTACCAGTCGCCTCCGACTTGACTTTTTGGAATTAGTTGACCTGTTATCCTTCTTTACGTTGCATCTAAATAACATCTTAACTTTTTCAAATAATGCCTGATCATTTCAGCATCTCCTTAGGCTCAATAAAAGATTATGCCTTCATCGACCTGTTCTCTATTTTTCTTGCAATTTTATACGCATGTTTATGGTGAATACTTCATAATGTGATGTAAGATGAATTTTCTTCTCAGTTCTTATGTATTTGGCGAAGATGTTGGTTTTGGTGGTGTCTTTCGTTGCACTACTGGGCTAGCTGACCGATTTGGAAAACAGAGGGTCTTCAACACTCCTTTGTGTGAGCAGGTATCTGTAGCTTATCTACCATATTCCATGTCTGCTCGAGCCCTTTTTGGGTGGAAGACCTGAGCAATAAATAATAATACTAACTATTTCATTGTTTTAATAATAGGAAATTCAGCATGAATTTCATTTTATACAAGTCACTTTTTTGTGTCAAGAAGTGTATCCACTAATGGTTTTTGATGTGCAGGGCATAGTTGGATTTGCGATTGGTCTTGCTGCAATGGTCAGTTTCTGAGCTCTAAATACTAAAAGCTAAATAGTTCTCAACTGTTTGCTGATATTGTTATTTTGTTTTGTTGCCTAAAATTTCAGGACAATCGAGCTATAGCAGAAATTCAATTTGCAGATTATATATTTCCTGCTTTTGATCAGGTACGCATCTATGCTGAGTCATGTACTAACACTTTATCATGATATTTATTGACTTTCAAATTTTTGTTTTGTAGATTGTCAATGAAGCTGCGAAATTCAGATACCGGAGTGGTAACCAGTTCAACTGCGGAGGTAACTGGAAGAAAACTTATGACTTTATTGCAGTTCATCATTTTCTCGAAGTTTCAAGATGCTGAACTGGCTCATGGTTTCCAGGTTTAACTATAAGAGCACCTTATGGAGCTGTAGGACATGGTGGGCATTACCACTCTCAATCCCCTGAATCTTTCTTCTGCCATGTTCCTGGTATAAAGGTACCACATCTTTCTGTGCATCTTACACTTGTCAGGTTTCTTTTGCATGATTTTTCTTAGAATCAGACTATTACATGTTCTGGTAAATGTGGGAGGAGTCCAAGTTGCGCACCCTTCTTAGTTTGTCCCTCGGCTTTGAGGTCGTGACAGTTGTTATTTCTTCAGAAATTCTATTTGCCAAGTGAGTGGCAGCTTTATATTCAAGCACTGCACTACATAGGAAATCTCATCTACTTTGCTTTCAAAAATAAATCTAGCTACTTCAGTTTCTCCTAAAAGTACTTTCCAGTAATGTTTCATCTGTATGCAGCATTCTTTGTTCATTGATGTACTTAAAAAAGTAGCTTTTTAAGTCAAAAGTAAAAATTCAAACTGAAATGATTTTTAAGTCAAAAAATAAAAAATAGGGGGAGGCCTCCTTTTGGTTTTTAACTTATTTTAAGTCATTTTAAACTTATTTTAAGCTTTTTAACCTTGTCAAACACTTCCTAACTTATTTTAAGTCATTTTTACTTACTTTAAGTTATTTCTATATTTGCCAAACATTTCCAGAAGTCAAAAATTGACTTAAAAGTAGGTTTGACCAACTTTTAAGCCAATCCAACACCCTTAATCTCTTAAACTAAGAATTGGAAAATGCTGAATCAACCTTTTACAGTTAGGAGACCAAGAACAATATTGATATGTCATGTACCATGCAAAATCCAAATTGTCCTTGGCACTCTATTTTCTCTTGCTCAATGAGTATAGGACTGGTATGGTGTGCATAAATCTCAACTGTCCTCGGCACTCTATTTCTTTTTCTCTATGAGTATCACATGTATATTCTTCTTCCTCTCATTATAAATTTTCATCAGTCTTCAAAGAAAAAATATAGCTTTCTACTGTGCACAAATCCAAATTGGTATCGTTGTATTGTCCCTAAGTATATGCTCTATCACTCATCTCTAAAATCTCATCTTATGGTAATACATATTGGAATCAATATAATCTTTCTCCACTTGTTTGATAGCTTTGCTCTCCTTACGGTAACATATAATAGCTTGGTAAAATGTACTGTTTCAACCTCTCCCAGACACTTCTAAACCTGCTTAGAGATTCCATTTTAACAGTAGGTTTTTCTAACTCTCATATTATTCATGATATCCTCTACTTTTGCTGCTCTAATTTTATGAGCATAGCCAACTTTTCTAACCTACACAAATGCATGAAACTATCCTCGTGATTCGAGTTGAGCTATTGATCAAAATAACACCTCCATCTATTGATTTCACTATCTCATCTCATTTGAAAAATTGTTAGGAATCGTCTTTATGTGTTCAAGTTTTTACCCTTCTTCTCCTTCTCATGTGCTAGTTTATACATTTCCCCTTTTCCATTCCGTGCTCCTAGCTTCTGACATAAGTCATCTAAGCTTTTATTTTGGGCTTTAATGATAGCCCTTTGCTCTCGTTTTCTTGCGCCAGATTTCAGCATCCACTTTTTAGTTCCTTATTCCCTCTTTTAATAGCTTGTTCCTAATTTCTTGTTGGCTTGTGCCTTTTAGTGTCCACAGCCTATGTTTTGTTGCATGCGACTATTTCTCCTTTTCTGCTCTACCCTTTCTCTTCAATAGCATTAACAAGTCTATGCCGAGTGGCTAAGCTTCTCTTAGTAGAACGTAGCAATCCTTACATGTTGCACTCTTACTTCTTCTGGTAAGGATGAAGTCTATTTGGTTGTGGTTTCATCCACTTTGATAACTAAGAAATTCTTGAGGGCCAGTAGCACACGGCTCAAAAATCGGCGGGTGATGGGCCCACCCCCGTTTACCTTTCTCCACTTAAATGCAGACTTTTGGCTGCTGCATAGTTCAAACCCATGAGTGCGCCTAATTCACACATCACGCATTGTGCTCTTACCACTAGACTAACGCCCTCTGGGCCTCTTTGAAACGTTATCAAGTATGATTTACCCTTTTCTAAAGGAAGTATTAGCTAAAATTAAAACTAGAAGTTAAGACGAACTCTAAAGTAGCCGCCCCTTTATTCTTAGTACCATAACAATTTCCTGATGTATTTTCTTGAAATCATCACTGTATCTATCCACGTGTTCATTCAGATTCCCTCATTAAGGATTTGTTGGTCCTTTAGGTGTCCTTGGACCAAGGTATCCATACCCTCCCTAAATTAGTTTTTATACCCTTCCAAAATTAGTTTTTCACTTCCTCTTTTAATGAGCATAGGCACTAACAATGGTGAATGATTTGTTTCCTGTACTAGTATTAATGAAATAATCATATCACCAATCTCTGACAACTTTATAGTTAAGTTCTAGTTTTTGCCCGTCGTTATTTTTTTTAATCTCACAATAAAGGCTTAAGTTCTATCTGATTTATAGTTAAAAAAGACTGTATGATTTGCCGGACTTCTTTATATATTTTCTCTAGAAATCAGATGCCTCTCTTTTCTCCTCATAAGAATCCATGCATACCTTTGATAATTTTATGTGCAATTATCTGTTAGGTGGTCATCCCACGCAGTCCACAGCAAGCAAAAGGATTGCTGTTGTCAAGCATACGTGACCCAAATCCAGTTGTTTTTTTTGAACCAAAGGTGATCTCATTTTCCCTTGCTCCTGCTAGTCTGTTCTGCCAGATCATTGGAACTGTAACTCACTACTTTCTGGATGAATTTCAGTTGCTTTACCGGATGGCTGTTGAAGAAGTTCCTGAAGATGATTATATGTTGCCTCTATCTGAGGCAGAGGTATGATAATTCTTCTTTTGTTGTTTATAATTGTGTGGGTTAAAAGTGCCCCATTGGTTGGGGAATGGACTGGTGGTCTGCTTTATGGACTTGGGTAATCCTCCCCTCATGAGCTAGCACTTGGGGTTGAGTTAGTCCCAGGTGCCATATCTTTACATTGCATCTGTTTGGGCTCCCAGTGCACGCTCCAATCGGGCCTTGGTGTGAAGGAGTGTGTGTGTTAGAGTGGGTTAAAAGCCCCACATTGGTTGGGGAATAAACTGGTGGTCTGCTTATATAGACTTGACAATTCTCCCCTCATGTGTTAGCTTTTGGGGTTGAGTTGGGTCCAGGTGCCACATCTTTAAAATCATGAATTTGAAACTGAAGTGCATGCCTAAATGCAGGTCCTCAGGGAAGGTACTGATATCACATTAGTTGGTTGGGGAGCTCAGCTTTCTATTATGGAGCAGGCATGCGTAGAAGCTGCAAAGGTGGATACTCATTGCTAAAAGATCTGTTATATTCCATTTCCCTGAATAAAATTTTCTATTAGTCGTGTTATATTATTAGTTACCTTTATAAATGCATTTCATGGTTCATGGCGCTGAGAACTAAAATTTCGGTTTCTGCATTCTCAAATTTCTCTCTGACGCTTGGTATAGTATCAAAATATGTGTGTCAATTTATCTTTCAATTGTAGTTCTTATGTAAAAACCTGGATTACTTATCAGCTTCTGAATATGTATATTCTGCAGGAGGGGATCTCTTGTGAACTGATAGACCTTAAAACTTTAATACCATGGGACAAGGAAACGGTAGAGGCCTCTGTCAAAAAGACAGGAAGGCTGCTGGTGTGTATTTTACCATATGTACGGAATTGAAGAGGGCCATTTCATCCTAAATAACTTACCGTAAATTTCTTGTTTGTAGATTAGTCATGAAGCTCCTGTGACAGGTGGATTTGGTGCTGAAATATCTGCATCTATAGTTGAACGTTGCTTCACGAGAGTAAGCATTTTACTTTATTTTAGGTTTCCTTGTACACTTCTTCTTCTAGTATCCCTTTTATTTTCTGGATCACCTTGAAAGTGTTAAAACTCTATAAGATCTCCTGTACTAGGTCATATGTCTGTGCATATCGATTTGCAAAACATAGTTAAAAACATACTTTCTTAAAGAATAATGGGTGGTACGTTGGTGGTTTCAGACAACACAGATAGCTTAGAGCTTCTGAACATACACCTTGTGACCTTGGACTTAGCGGTCATATCTTACTTGAGGGACCGGGTGAGGCTACTGAACCCGTCAGTGTTGTCTAGCATCTGTAAAAATTGAAGTATTTGCCACATGCTGTATCTCAGGTTCAGTTACTGGGTCCTGCTTTAGGCCAATTAATCCTTGGCCTCAAGACTTAACAATTAGTAAGGTGCACATGTCCATGGACAATATACACATCTCTATCCAAAAATTAGCACTTGCAATATAAAAGAGAGACTTTCAGAAAATTCGATAAATTAGAACTTATGTACCCATGGTCAATTGGCGCGCATCTCTATCTAAACAAAATGTAGTACTTGCAATATAAAGGAGAGACTTTAAAGAATTCAATGAATCAGAACTTGCTCAACTGGACATACAGAAGAGGCAGCATTGCGTTAAATTGACTAATCTATTCTGCTGCAGCAGCATACAAGAGAATGTAGTCTTGAAATTCTCCAATTTGAAGAAATTGGGATGCCTTGAAATGTGAAAATTTCTATCAGCGGGATCATGTTCACTGCTGTAAAATAGACGTTGATATTACAGTTCAGCTACTTGTAATTTCACTTAACAGAGTTTACATCTGCCAGGAAAAAAAAATAGTCTCTGTTTTACAAACAAGGATGAGAAAGTACTGCTTTAAGATTACAGTTTTTGCAATATAAAGAGAGACTTTTTTACAAACAAGGTCAAGCAAATAGCACAAACAATACTTCCTTGCTCATCCTCCTTTGTTCTGCTAATAATGCCATGTGTTGCTTTTGTTCCATAGGAGATTCATCAATTCAGATTTGAGATGCATGTTACACTAAGCATTTGTTTGCACCTTATTGCTTGCTTTTAATTTCAGTTTTTTTTTCCCTCACATAGAAGTACTAAATTCCATGTGAAATTAGGGAGTTAAGAGCATTACCCAAACTAAAACTAAACGACAGGATAGAAAAAGTAACCTGTCATTTCTCCTGGCTGGACTCCATGCTGTAGCTGCATGTAAACATTACATGATGCTGCATATCACTATGGTATATAAGTATTTTGTTACTATCCCTTGTTATGGATCTAGCTATGGGACGTTGCAAGACAAAATCAAAGTTAATGTTGAGTGAATTAGGAGTCTAGAAAGAGGTTTTCTTTTTTCTACCTATGGTGCTGGTTCGTTAAGAAAGAACCTGCCATCTCTTGTGTTTGAAGTACTCAAAAACTTGACTAATTTTCTGCGTATCATTTCACTAAATGCAAATAATGTTAAATACAATACTGGTGGATTAACCACCCATCTGGAAACAAGGAAGCAACTTCCTACTACAACTGAAATGAGAAAGTGGAGGAATAACCTAAAGGACCCAAAGTGCGCAACCATACCATATCAGATCTGTGAAAGTCTATGATAAGAAAATTAGTGCAAAGAGTAAATCCTTGCATGGTGAGTGAGACCTGAGGAACGACCCCCAAACATCTTAGTGTATGACCACTACCCACAAGAACTGAAAATTGGGATGAGGTCTCAATTGGTAGTTTGAGAAAATTGGCCACACGAGGATGCATAAAGTTTTGAGTGCTAGCCCCATCAAGAAGAACCTTAACAGGAGATTCCTTGATATTACCGTAGAAACGAAGGGTGGTGGGGTGTAAGCTGGATAAGGCGAGGTAACTGACAGTTGGAACTGGTGCTTCCTCAGTACAAGGAGTAGACTTCTCAACGACCTTTTCGACTTTAGGAAGTGGAAGTTCCACAACATTGTTCGTCGATAAGAGAAGTAGAAGGTGGGGGATAGAAGTGCAACAGTGGTTCTTGTGCCATTTCTCATCACAATGATAACAAAGATTGAGCTCATGTTTTTGTTGCATTTCAGCAGGAGTAAGCTTTTTATAAGGAACACGACCCACACCAGGTAGGGACGCTGAAGGGCCATGGGATGAACATGATGAAATTAGTGTGGAAGAGGTCAGAGAAATGGAAGGGATATTTCAGTGACTGGAAAAATTAAGGGCCTAGGTAATGAGAAGAAGTAGTTCGCGAGTTGGGCTTACCAAGCCTGATGATAACTTTTGCTCGTGTAAATAAGCCATCCCAATAGCATCATTAAGATCAACAGGGAGAAAAGCTAATGCCTCAGACTTCCCGATATAAATGTGTGCATCAGTTAGTGCAGTGCCATACCCGATGTCCGATTTGCGATCTTCTCGAATTGAGAAAGATATTCGCAAACATATGAGGTCATTTGGAGTTTTGCCAGAACACCTTCAGGAGCCTCTAGTGTTTTTGCACCAAAACGTGTCACCAAAGCTCAAGTGAAATGCTCCCCGTCAATCAATGGGTGATTTCTGTACATCCATCGAAACTAGTGATGAGCATCACCCTCAAGGTAAAAAGGGGCCAGTGTAAGGCGTTGTTTATCAGAAACCCCATTGACTTTGAAGTATTGATTAGCTTGGAACACCCAGCTCTCAACGTGAGCTCCATCAAATTTAGGCAAATCGATTGGGGCAGGTTTGTCACGACGAAACGCTGCATGCGGATTCGAAGGGAGAAGAAGAGGAAACTTGGGTTGTGGAGGAAAAGGGGAGAAAATGGGATTCTAAATGGGAGTGGTGTGTTGGTGGTAGAAGGTTTATGGAGGTGGCATGGTGGGCAGAGATGGAACACTGGAAACAGGGCTTTTTGCTGGTTGTTACCTGACTGGTTAAGTTGTAGGGAGGAGAGCTGAGAAAGAATATCATGAAACATGGAAAAGTATGGCTCTGAATCATAGCAGCCATGGATTCGAAGCTCTTGTTACAGGAAACAACTTGTTCCTGGACCTGTTTTAGAGCTTTATCCAATGTTTTGAGCCGGGTATTATGTGCCCCGTCATCCATTTGTAGAGGAGGGTCAATGAAAATACCAAATGATATGAATTAACTTGTATTGATAAACAGATCGGGAAAACAAGCTTTTAGGGAATCAGAACTTGCTGAGAATAAAAACTACACCTATTTAACTAAGGAAAGCAACTGAAAGGAAAACTAAGAAAAGAAATAAGCTCTCAGAATATGCATATCCGGTAGCCTTATATCTCTTTTCTATTTATAGGCTTTGTTGCTTGGAGGGGAATCCTATGTACTACCTGTGTAATGGCTTTTGGCATGCATGTCTGACACATTTGCCCCTTTGTTGGTCCCTGTAGTGGAGTATTCCTCCAAATATATAGGTGTAACTTTTGGCTTGTTACTGCGCCTAAGTGTGAGTGGGTCATTAACATAGGTTCCATGCGCCTCAACGTGTTCTCATGTTTGTATACCTATCTATTATTTTTTCATGTTCCAATATTTGGTTATGACATCACGTGTTGGACTATTTAATTTGTAAGTGTTAATATTTGGGTGGTTTTGCAGTTAGAAGCTCCAGTGGCCAGAGTGTGTGGGTTAGATACTCCTTTTCCTCTGGTGTTCGAGCCCTTCTACTTACCTACAAAGAACAAGGTAACAGGACATGAAACTTGTTTCATTTTCAAAAGATTTCACTCTTGACCTCTTGACCTCTTGACCAAAGTACTGCCTTGTTTTTGGTTGCAGATACTGGATGCAATCAAATCTACTGTGAATTACTAGTGCTCATTCAGTCGTGCGGAGATGCTGGAGTGTTATAGTAGTGAATATTTATTTATATGTATTGCCATAGATTATGATTCGGGGTTTTCTCTATTAGCATACATATACAAAACACTGTTATTAATAGCTTATGCAACCAAAAAAGGTCATGTATTCATTTACACCTTCTTCCGGGACTGGCTCACTGCTTTCTGTTTTGGTGCACAAGGCTATTCTGCTTGCTTTGTTGAATCATAGGTTATCCTGTTGTCACGACCTGAGCCTACACCCCGGACGTGATTGCGTACAAGATTTTGAAAAGCCTCATACAAGCCTCATAGCATATCATGACATAAGATAATAAAAAATGGTGCGGAATTTAAATCTTTTATCCATACAATCGAGGTCTTTTATAAAAGCAAGCAGAAGTCTAAACATAGTCTCTTTTAGTCATCTATTACAATCGAAGTCTCAAATAGGGTCACAACCCTTACAATAGAATCTGAAAGTCTAATACAATGAAAGGAAACAAAACAACTAGGCATCACTTGTCCTCGGATCCATGAGGACTCACCACAAGCTTTGGAGAATAGTCAATCCAAGCTTAGAACTAGAAGGAAGATCACCTCAAATGCCGGAACCTACACTTTGTAGAAAAATGTAGAAGAAATATGGGTTAGTACAAAAATGCACCAAGTGTGATTGCCATGCACAAAATCCTTGAAAACATGCCAAAATGGACATTTTAGTTGAAAAGCATGCATTTACTAAGTTTGAAAATCATCATGCACTTTTAGTGTAAAAACATAAGACATAAGCATATTCAAAATGTAAATCATTATAACGTAATAGAACCATCTCTTAGGTAACCCTAAGTTATACTTGTGCAATGTATGAATGGCATCCCATAATACCACTCATACTAAGTATCCCTTTGAGGCCACCATAGACATACTCACCATTCTTCATTTTCATCGTTAGTTAGTACTCATAAACAAGAAACATTCATGTCTAATAAGTCATGTCAAGGAAAGCAACTCATAGCAACAATCCAAGTAAAGCCTTCATCATTTCATTTAGCCTTTATGCCAACATTCTCAATAACATCATTATAAGCACATTCATTTCTTTAGACCTTATGACATTTGAGGAACACACCATAGCCACTCTCAAAGCCTACTCGTGCAATGCATGAATGACATCCCATACTACCACCCACACTTCATAGGACCTCTTGAGTAACCATTGCACATAACTCACATGATGGGAATAAGCCCTAACTGACATAGACCATGTGAGAAAATCATGGAATCCAGTGTCTATCCCACATCGTAAAGGGTTGGTCTACTTGCCTAAGGTAGAACCGGTAATTTAGCTTAGATGGATCCACTATCTATAACCTATGTGGGCACATAGTTATGGGATAAGGAGGTTGTTACTAGAAAATCTGGCCTAACATAGGGAGAGCTTCCACCCCACAATATCCACTCGGTGCTAAGCATTAAATTCCCATAGAGTAGTTCATTCTCTTTTAGCATTATTGCACATGACAATGATGCCATTGGCCTACCAACTCAAGGTACATTGTTACACACATGAAAGGAATGCCATTGGCCTATTGATTCAAGGTACATTATTAGGATAGCTCATTGAATCCTCATGAAAGGGGTACCATTGGCCTATCAATTCAAGGTTCATTATTAGTCACTCATGAAAGAAATGCCTTAGGCCTATCGATTCAAGGTTCATCATTATATTAATTCACTGACTCATCATGAAAGGAATGCCATTGGCCTATCGATTCAAGACAAAGCCTTAGAGTACTTCATTAGTCATTTATGAAAGGGATGCCATTGACCTACCGATTCAAGATTCATTATTACACACATGAAGAGGATGCCCTAAGCCTACCAATTCAAGGTATATTATACATTGAGAAACCTTTCACAACATGTAATCATCATTCACAAGTGTATAATTGAGAATAACCTTTCAACAACACCACAATTGCATTATAGTCATGATCACATTACTTTCAATATATTCACAAAGAATGTACATAAGCATCATGATTATACCATATTCTCACAATTTTCTCTTAAAGGACCATGAATCATAATTCACCAACACACCTGGAATTACTACAATTAGGCATGGATAATAACATAATTCAAGTACTTAAACTACTACAAGAACAATTTCATAGTATTCATCTTACTACAATTCACCCACATCGCATAGTCATAAATTAGAGTTATGGGAAATTCATGGATTCATGGGAGATTTTATCATAAAACCACCATAAAACAAAAATTCAATCTTAATATATGATAATTAAAACATTGAAAACGTTTTTAGAAAGAATCCATGACTTGGAGTGAAAACCCTAGGTTTTGGAGACTTTTCTTCTTTGAAATTGGAAGTTTGGGGACTCCATGGAAGAAAGCTTTCCATGAATCAAGTCTACCATACCTTAGATGAAAGAATCCAACCAAAATCGTGTGAGAAACCCCCTCCTTCAAGCCCTAACTTGATCTTCCTCTTTTTCTTCAATGGAGTTTTTAGAGAAAAGATTTTTGGAAAGGGTTAAGTTGGTTATGATTTGGGTAGTTGAGATTTGTGAAGTGTAAGGGTAAATGAATAGCTTAAAAACCCTTATATAGGTCTAAATAAACAATATAAAATGACCCTACATTGAAATAATTAAAAAGGAAATTACCTAAGAACCCCTAGCCTTGGCCGAATTTGGGCAGTCTACAGGGCCCCATCCACGACCCCCACCCACGGGGCGTGGATGGACCCACATACTGTACTGGTCAGACATGGGTTGGGTTTGCAGGCGTGGGTCCACCCACGACTCCTGGGTGCTCTTTCGTGGGTAGGCTATTTTTGACAGCTTTTTGGGCCAGTTTTAGGGTCCTTGAAGGTTGGTCCTTGGGGAGTCGTACCTTGATGTTTAACCCCTAAACCCCTCATCCTGCGTACGAGAAGTCCTTTTACCACATTGACCCACACAACAAACTCTAAAACTCTTACGTAAGGCTCTAGTTTCACTTACTAATTTTCCGAGTCATAACAATATCTCCCCCTTGGGAACATTTGTCCTCGAATGACACTTCTAAATATTTCACGGAATTAAAGACTCAAGACTACCAGCCCATTATGCATGAAACATCAAAACAATGCATCATTTAAATGAGAAAACATCAATTCCATTTCGACATACTCATTGCAACACAAGGAAGTAGGAACTGCATATTTTCCCATTATGCATGAAAACTTCAACATTTCAATATTCATAAGAGGAACTACCTTCTCCAACTCAAAGCATGCTTAACTCAACATCATGAAGCAAATTATGCAATTACCCTCAAAATCACATTTGAGCATATTCAACAATTCATCTCATGAAGTATATAGACAACTCATACTAAATGCATATCAACACGACATACATAAATCATGAAAACTCATTTTCTCATTAAACATAAATTTCATCAAGAACATGCATGCATAACATAAGGAAGTCATGGAAAATCATAAATCACACATGTCTCCAAAACATGAAACAGACCATAAAGAACTCTTTGTCTCAAGCTTGAATAGGAATAGAAGAAAGAGATAAAGATATCGGAACTCTCAACCTTGCCTTCCAAGCATACCATCTCCCTCTTGGGAGTAAATCCATACTAAGGCTAACATAAAAATCTAGCAAATAGCATAGGGACCTTAATAAAAAATTTACATCTTTAAGGAGTCATCGACATACCGATGCCTTCATCCGGAAGGGCTCCTTTGTCCTCTCTAGCTCGGAGTGCATAGAAATGAGCATACTTTGGAGCATTGGGATCTGGGCCACTAAGAGAAACTTGTTTGGCCTCTCTTCTTTTGGACGTAAGTGTTTTTCACTTGATGATCACTCTTTCCACAACCATAGCAACCATCCGTACCTGCTAGTAAGGCTGGCAGGGAGTTCAGGTCGGCTCGCGACCTGTTTGAGAATCGGCTCGCGGGACTCGGTCTCGTCACTTTTCGCGGGTTGGGAGGGATTCGGGATAGGGGACCGGTTAGGGGCCGGTTCACCCTTTGGTCCCGGTCGACCCGGTCCCGGCCCGGCTGAACCGACCGATTTCGCGGGATCCCTTATTTTTTTTTTAATTATATCCGTTGGGGATCGTTGGGGCAACGGCTAGTGGGCCCCCCAACGGATTTATTCATCTTTTTCACTTCCCCAACACCCCCTACCACCCCTTACTTTTAATATTTAATTTAAACCCTCAAGTTATCATTAATACACTTTAACCCATTTTTAATATTATAAATACCGCTCTATCCCTTATTATTTCTTACAAAATCATCTATTCTCTCATCTATTTTCTATATCCTCTCAATCTTAAGTCTCAATTTTTTATTCCATTTAAGTCTCATATTATATCATAATACATATATTTCAATTCTAAATTTTCATATTATATCATAATATAAATAATTCTCATATTTGCTATCAAGTATTGGAGTTCCAAATTACAAGTTACGACAAACTACAAGCTTCAAGAATCGGTTATAACGTCTGCTATTAACGCAGGCGTTTGGTACATTCGTTTCATAATATTTATATTTTATTTTTCGTCATTAATTCTTGTGTTATTTTTATTTTTATATTACACTTTACATATAATTAAATATGAGTTATAGTAAAAAAGATACAGGTAAAGGAAAAGAGATACAACCAAGTGGCATTAGTAAATTATTTAATTTTAATAAAAAAAGTAGTAAGGAAAAAAATAAGAGTAAAAGTGGTGGTACTTCTTCTAAATCAATGTCTAGAGTTAGATTTAATACAAATGATTCTACTTATGTTGATGATACTTCTATGATATTGATTCAAATGTTCAACTCGATCATGAAATTTTACAACAAATTTATGGTGATATTAATCCTTATCTTGATGAAAATTCAGGTGAAGAAGTAGAAGTTGGTTCGGGAGAAGATGAATTAGAAGATACACCTACTAGTCCGGTGACAGAAGTTTCAAATGAAACTACAAATTCAACGGAGCAAAATTGTAGACTCCCATCCCTTATACCTCCTATAAGGGAGAAGGTGAAGTATCAACGCCCTAAAACTTCTGTTGTGTAACAATTTATGACTTTAGATAAGGAAAACTCTATTGCTATTTGTA